GTATAGGAGATTTTAACGAGATTGGCTTGATTGAGGAAAAGGAAGAGGGTGAGGAATGTCGAATGTCTCACTTTCGAAGGTTCCTAGAATTGCTTTCAGATTGTGCGCTTATGGATTTAGAGTTTAAAGAGGTTTCGTTGGTCATATAATCATAGGGGAGGAGATCATGTTCGGAACGCTTGGATAGGGTAGTGGCTATAGTTGAGTGGAGGGCTCTTTTTCCAAATGCCCAAGTTTTTCATGAGCTTCAAATAGGGTCTGACCACTGCCCTGTGGCTCTAAATTGTTGTGTGCCTCTTAAGAAAGTCCCTAGATATTTCAAGTTTGAATCAATGTGGTCTACTAGCCCTTCTTGTGTTGATGTGATCAAAGTAACTTGGGAAATCAGACAAGTGGGTTCTCCTATGTTTCAGTTAGTCAAGAAGCTTCAATCCTTTCGAGATGGACTTAGAGCTTGGGGCAGGGAGCATTTTGGGAACAATCTAATTTAGATTACTAGACTTAAATCGGAATTGGCATCCCTCCAAGCCCAACCGAGTTCGGATGCAATCTTGAACCTTCAAAGCAATGTCAAGAAAGAATTGGAGCTTATGCTTACCCGAGAAGAAATTTTTCTTCATCGAAGGTCGCGGGTGCAATGGTTGAATTATGGTGCCCAAAACTCAAAGTTTTTTAATGCTTCCATGATACAACAAAGACAAAGAAATCAAATTATTCAACTCTAATAAGAAAATGGTACATGGCTTAATACAAATTCAGAGATAAATCAACACATACATAACTATTTCTCTAGTCTCTTTACTAGTAGTGGGACAAGAGATCTTCATGATGCGCTGGTTGTGGTAGAGCCATTGGTTACTGAAGAAATGAATAGCCAATTGATTTCCAATGTGTGTGATGAAGACATTCAAGTAACAGTGTTCCAATTGGGTGCTCTTAAGTCTCCGGGGGTGGATGGCTTTCCTGGGTTTTTTTATCAGACCTATTGGCAGGAAGTTGGAGAAAATGTTTGCAAGGCGGTGATGAGTTTCTTTTTTTGTGGTTAAATCGTTCAACAAATTAAACCAGACTAATTTAGTCTTGATCCCTAAAGTGGCCCATCCCGCGAAGCTATCACAGTTTCACCCTATTAGTCTATGCAACTTCAACCTTAAGGTCATTGTTAGAATACTTATTTTGTTATTTTGTTCTTTTGTTAATATTTACTTAAGTTGAGGGTATGATGATCATATTGTTATGTTAGGATTTATATATATATTTGACTTTCTGATGTAAATGGTGGTTCTGGAAGATTATTCAATAGATATAAAACTTCTCTCTTCTCTCTTTTCTCTTCTTCTTCTTCTTCCTAAATCTTAACCCCAAATTCCATCTTTTTACATTCTAACTTGGTATCAGAGCAATCTATTCTTCATTAGAAAGATTTCTACAGACTTTGAAGATTGATTGGAGGTGACAGAGACGTGCTAATGTCATCAGCCGTACGATGACGTCAGCATGACGTAAGCACTGTACGGACGGGTCTTCCACCCCTAGGTTTGAAATTTAATCCGCAGATTTATGGTGATTTTTGTGGATTTTTTTTGAACATCCTTGAGGTGAGTTTTCAATTTTTAAATGTTTTTCGATTTTTTTTTTGTCTCAATCGACAAATTTGGATTTGGAACTGTTATTTGTTGAATCCACTTGTTGGAATCCTCTCTCTACGAGCCGAAACTCTTCCCTTCCCTGTTTTTTGCCATTAATTTGTTGATTTGCTACTGTTGGGTTGATGCTTGCTTCGTTTTTGGCCTTATTCTGCTACTACACATAGTCGACAGTCTTATTTTCTAGCTTTCCCCCCACTGAAACTTACTACATGGGGACTGAAACTTCTCTAGGAAAGTATGATTGATTTTACAGTGTTGATTTTTGTTGAATTCTTGTTGATTGAACTAGTTCCAGTGGCTATACTCTTGGTTGTATGTATTGATTGGTGTGGATAAGTCCTATTTGCAAAAATTGTGCTGCCTTCACACTCTTGTGTTGAATATTTTGTGTGATTGCCTGTTATGGCTGAAATTGAGACCAAAGCAATGGTTGTGAGTAAAGATGATGACATGCCCAAATCTATTACTACCAAGAAGTTGAATGGTGCCAATTATTTGGCTTGGGCTCATGCTGTAAAAATTTTCTTACGTGGTAAGAAGAAATCTCGCTTCATTAGTGAGCTCCCTCCTGCCACTGATGACAGAGCTTATGATGATTGGTGTAGTAAGGATTCCTGTGTTATGGATTGGATCTGGCATAGCTTGGAACCACAGGTTGCTACTACCGTGGAATTTTGTGATACCTCTAAAGAAATTTGGGACTCCCTTGCTGAATCCTTTTCAAATCAGAGTAATGTCTCTCGGGTCTATGAGCTATATGAGCAGATTTTTGCTATGCACCAGTCTGGCCGGTCACTTCCTGATTATTATAGTAGTCTCAAGATCTTGTGGGATCAGTTATTGCAGCATCGTCCTTTCACTACTGATGTGAACAAACAGAAGCAACATTGAGAGGAGTTCATGATGACTTCTTTACTCTCTCGATTAGATCCTGAATTGCGGGGGTTTGAGGATCAGATTCTTGCCAGTGAGACCCTACCTTCTGCTGCTAATGCCTACTCTCGGCTGTTACGTTCTTCTTTGGGACAGCCTCAATCCATCTCTGGGTCCTCTACCTTGTCATCTTCTACATTAGTCTCAAGTAGTACTGATTGTGGGTCAACTCGAGGGGGTTTTCTTGGCACATCTAGTCACCGGGGCTCTTATTCTAGTTCACAGGGTTCTCGTGGGGCTAGTTCTCGTGGTGGTGGCTCCCGTGGTGGTTTTCGGGGTAGTAATGGACCTAATTCTCGTACACGTAGCAATCGCAAGTGTACTTATTGTGGTACCCAAGGTCATACTGAACCTTGGTGTTGGCAGAAGTTTGGCAAACCCGATCATGTTCATCGGGTTATGGATGTTCCATTCTTACAATCTTCCTTGTTGTCCACTAGCTCTGATGCTTCTCCAGTTAATTCTCATGAGACAATCACTATTCAAATTAGTGAGCTTACTACTCTTGTCCAGTCTCTCCGGCCTAATCTACCTTCATCCTCTACTGCTACCATGGCTAGTTCAGGTAATATTGCATATGTGGCTAAGTCCTCTCAAGCTTGGCTCGTAGACTCTGGTGCTAGTTCCCATATCTCTGGTAATTTCTCTCTTTTTGATACTTTTAGACCTGTTGATCATACCATTATACTTGCTGATGGATCTTCTCGGCCTATCTGTGGTCAAGGTCTACTCCATCCCTTTCCTTACCTTCTGGTCTTTATGTTCCTAAATTTTCATTTAATTTTCTTTCTGTTAGCCAATTGACTCAAGCTCTCCATTGTTCAATAACCTTTCTCCTACTTCATGTGTTTTGCAGGACCTCCAGACCAAGAGGATGATTGGTTCGGGGCATGAGAAGGATGGCTTATACTTTTTGGACACTGAGACCTCTCCTCATCCTCCATCTGCTGTGTTAAGTGCTAGTGTATCTCCTCTTCAGTGACATTTTTGCTTGGGTCATTCCTTCTTGGTCAAGCTCAAGTTAGCTGTTCCGGGCTTGAGTCATGTTTATCAGATTGAGTGTGAAGCCTGTCAATTTGGGAAGCATCACCGTAGTTTATTTCCTAGTCGTAGTGTTAGTCGTGTGCCTGAGTCTTTTGCTTTTGTCCATACAGATATTTGGGATCTTTCAAGAACTCCCACTGTTAATGGGTTCCTTTATTTTGTTATTTTTGTGGATGATTACTCTCGAATGACTTGGTTGTTTTTAATAAAACAAAGATCGGATTTGCCTTCCATCATCTCTAAGTTTTATAATGAAATCTTTACTCAATTTGGCAAACGTATTAAGATATTTCAGTCTGATAATGCCTTAGAATATGTGCAATCTATTGTAACTACCTTTTGTGATACTCATGGTATTATCCACCAAACTAGTTGGTCTCATACATCTCCTCAAAATGGTGTTGCAGAGCGGAAACACCGCCATTTGTTAGATATTGCTCGCACCCTGATGTTTAATATGCATGTCCCCAAACAGTTTTGGGGCGATGCAATTCTCACCGCTTGTTTGCTTATCAATCGCATGCCTTCTAGTGTTGTACACACATCTCCCTATTCTCTGTTGTATCCCACAACATCTTCTTTTCCCTTGCCTCCTCACATTTTTGGTTGTGTGGCCTTTGTCTATGTTTGTGACCCTGGTTTGGATAAGTTATCTCCTCGAGCATGCAAGTGTGTGTTCTTAGGTTATTCTCACACTCAGAAAGGGTATCGGTGTTATTATCTTGAGTCCCGTCGCTACTTTGCTAGTGCAGATGTTACCTTTTTTGAGTCTACTCCTTTTTTTTCTCCCTCTGGGCAACAGTTATCTCTTGATCTTCTCTCTTCTCGTGAGGGGAGCCAGCCTCTCTCACTTTTCCCTCTTATGCTCCTCCCATATCCCCTCATTTGCAGGTTTATCAACGGTCTCAAGCTTGTCGCATTGTGTCTTATGGCCCGACCAGTTCATCTCTTTCGTCTGAGGCCTCTGTTCCACCTGTTGATCTGCCATCTGATGACCTTCCTATTTCACTTTGCAAAGGTACACGAACTTGCACTCAACATCTTATTGCTCATTTCGTTTCTTATGATTGCCTTTCTCCTGGTCTTCACTCTTTTGCTTGTAGCTTGTCTAGTGTTTCCATTCCCCGTACCTATCAGCAGGCTCTGTCCATCCCTGGTTGGAAGCATGCCATGGATGAAGAAATGCATGCTCTTCATCAGAATCACACGTGGGAACTTACCTCTCTGTCGTCTGGCAAATCTATTGTGGGTTGTCGTTCGATTTATACTGTTAAGTATCTTCCTGATGGCACTGTTGAGTGACTTAAGGCTCGCCTGGTAGCTAAAGGCTACACCCAGACTTATGGTGTTGATTACTTGGAGATCTTCTCTCCTATGGCTCGTCTTAATTCTGTTCGGATTCTTCTCTCTGTTGCCGTTAATCAGTCTTGGCCTTTATATCAACTTGAATCAAGAATGTCTTTCTTCATGGTGATCTCCAAGATGAGGTCTATATGGATCAGCCCCCTGGCTATGTTGTTCCCGGCCAAGAGCATCTTGTTTGTAGATTGATAAAGGCCTTGTATGGTCTTAAGCAGTCCCCTCATGCCTAGTTTGATCGCTTCAGTGCTATTGTGCTTGCCTATGGCTTTCACCATTCCATCTTTGATCACTCTGTTTTTGTTCGCCACTCGTCTACTGGGATTATTGTTCTTATTGTCTAGGTGGATGACATCATCATTTCAGGGAGTGACTCCAATGGTATTGCTGATTTGAAGCAGTATTTGCAACAACAATTTCACACCAGAGACTTGGGCCATCTTCGATATTTTCTTGGGATTGAAGTTGTCCGTTCTTCTCAGGGCTTGTTTCTTTCTCAACGGAAGTATGTTCTTGATCTTCTTACTGAGACTGGTCTCTTAGGCACTCGCCCCAGTGATACTCCCATGGATTCTAGTGTTAAGCCTGCTGGTGACACCGACGACTTATTTACCGATATTGGTCATTATCATCGGTTGGTTGGGAAGTTAATATATCTCACTGTCACCCATCCCGATATTACCTATGTCGTGGGTGTGGTTACTCAATTTATGCATGCTCCCCGTCAACCCTATTTTGTGGCTATGTGTCGTATCCTGCAATACTTAAAGCGTGCTCCAGGTCGGGGTTTGTTCTATCGCCCATCTTCCTCTTTGTCTGTTACTGGCTTCAGTGATGCTGATTGGGCTGGTAATCAGACTGATCGTCGTTCCACCTCGGGTTATTGTACCTTTGTTGGTGGTAATCTTGTTACTTGGCATAGCAAGAAACAGACTATTGTTGTTCGTTCTAGTGCTGTGGCTGAGTATCGTGCCATGGCCCATACTGCTTCTGAGATACTTTGGGTTCAGTCTCTTCTCCAAGATTTTGGCTTTTCTGTTCCCACTCCTATGACCATGTCTTGTGACAATCAGGCTGCTATCTTCATTGCCAATAATCCTGTGTTTCATGAACGCACCAAACACATTGAAGTTGATTGCCATTTTATTCATGATCTCTTACTCCGCAAGCAACTTGTGACTCCTTATGTTCATTCTGAGGATCAATTGGGTGATATTCTAACCAAGCCTTTGGCCCGGCCTTCGTTTCATCGTTTATCCGTCAAACTGGACATGTTCGACCTCTATGCTCCAGCTTGAGGGGGAGTGTTAGAATACTTATTTTGTTCTTTTGTTCTTTTGTTAATATTTACTTAAGTTGAGGGTACGATGGTCATATTGTTATGTTAAGGTTTGTATATATATTTGACTTTCTAATGTAAAGGGTGGTCCTGGAAGATTATTCAATAGATATAAAATTTATCACACTCCTTATGTTCATTCTGAGGATCAATTGGGTGATATTCTAACCAAGCCTTTGGCCCGGCCTTCGTTTCATCGTTTATCCATCATACTAGACATGTTCGACCTCTATGCTCCAGCTTGAGGGGGAGTGTTAGAATACTTATTTTGTTCTTTTGTTCTTTTGTTAATATTTACTTAAGTTGAGGGTACGATGGTCATATTGTTATGTTAAGGTTTGTATATATATTTGACTTTCTAATGTAAAGGGTGGTCCTGGAAGATTATTCAATAGATATAAAATTTATCTCTTCTCTCTTTTCTCTTCTTCTTCTTCCTAAATCTTAACCCTAAATTCCATCTTTTTACATTCTAACTATCATAACTAAGATCCTTACAAATCGTCTGAAAAAGATTCTGAAGGACCTAATCTCTCAAAATCAATTTACATTTGTTCCTGGACGCTTGATTCAGGATAACATTCTTGTGGCCCATGTGGCTTTTCACTCTTTGAGATTAAAGAAGCGAGGTACTACAAGTCATATGGTGATCAAACTTGACTTCAACATGGCGTATGACCGGATAATGTGGGATTTCTTGTCCGAAGTGCTTTGGAAGATAGGCTTTCATCCTATATGGACTCAATGGGTAATGGAATGTGTGTCTAATGTCACCTTTTCCATTTTTGCTAATGGTAAAAAAAGGGCTTCCTTCAATCCAAGCAGTGGGTTGTGGCAAAGGGATCCCCTATCCCCTTATTTTTTCATTTTGGCTGCTGATGTCCTATCTAATCTCTTATCTCGAAGCCTCATAAACAATCAAGTTTCGGGTTTGAAGATCACAAGGCTCTGCCCTACTCTTTATCACATGTTATTTGCTGATGATATGATTCTGTTTCTCAAGGCGGATTCTAGTGAATGCCAACATATTTTGGACATCCTTCAAATTTTTTGTGAAGCCTCAGGCAGAAGGTAAATTTTGACAAGTCCGGTGTGCCATTCTCATTAAGTACCCCACCTGCAGTTTGTAGCTCTATATGCTACTTGTCAGGTTTTCAACTCTCTCAATCGGATGCGAAATACTTGGGGTTACCATCTTTCTAGGGTTGATCAATAATGGAAGCCTATGAGTTCTTGATTGAAAGGGTCCTCTCAATGCTACGAGATTGGAAACAGAAATTGTTATCTCAAGTGGGAAAGGAAACTCTTATTAAAGCAGTGATCCAAGCTATTCCTGCCTATGTGATGTCTTGCTTTGCGTTTCCTAAAAAATTCTACACAAAACTAAACTCTTGTATTAGTAACTTCTGGTAGGGTGGGGATCCAAAGGGAAATAGGGTTCCCTAGACCAGTTAGGGGCTTTGGGCATGTCAAAATTTGGAGGGTTGGGTTTTCGTGATTTCAACAATTTCAACATGGCCTTGATAGCTTGTCAAGGATGGTGTTTGATGAAATACCCAAACTCTTTTTGTGTGCGCAGTTTGAAAGGAATCTACTTTCCACACTTAAATTTTATGGAAGCTTCAAATGGCCGGCGGGCCTCTTGGGCTTAGGCTAGTATCTTACAAGGCAGAGATATTTTACAAAAGGGCGTTCGTTGGCAAGTGAACAGTGGGACTGATGCAAAATTCTGTAAGGACAAATGGATTCCATCTATTCTGGGGTTTAAAGTGACCTCTCCGAAGCCTAGGGGAAATGAATTTCAGAAAGTGTGTGATGCTATTGATTCCACGACTAAGAGTTGGAAGGTGGATGATCTTAAACTTTGTGTGTCTGAAATAGAAGTGGAGGCCATTTGCTCAATTCCCATTGCCTTGGAACAAACTCCAGGTTCTCTTGTATAGCATTTTGAATCGAAGGGGACATATTCAGTCAGATCGGGGTACCACATCGCAATGAAAGAGGTAAGCAATTCTTTGTCTTACAATCCATCTACCTCCTTTCAGCCCCCAAAAAATGTGTGGAAGATGATTTGGGCTTTAAAGTTACCTCCAAAACATAAACACTTTTGGTGGAGTGTGTGTAAAAATGTGCTTGCTACAAAAGACAATCCGTGCCAAAGAAGGTGTGTTATGTCAAATATGTGTCCTATATGCCAGAGATATCTTGAAACTGTCAAACACCTTCTTTTCGGATGCACATGGGTAGGTGCAGTTTGGTTTGGTAGTGATTAAAGCTTGATGGAAATGGAGGACCTATGTTCTCGATTTTCAAATGGGTGTGTGATATGTTGGGCTACTTTAAATCGGGTAAAGAATGGGAATCCTTTTTCAGGCTTATAGTTTGGATCGGTTGGTTTATTTTGAAGGACCGAAACAATTTTGTCTTCAATCATATCAACATCGAGCCCTCCTCGAATTTACATCGAGCTCGAGTGGCCAAATTGGAGTATGAGTCTGCAACTGAAACTAAAGGAGAGGTGTATCCTCAGATTTTGGCAAGCTCCTCAGCCTGGGACTCATAAAATCAATTGTGATGTGGTGATAAAGAAGGGCTCTAAGGTGGCCTCTATAGGTGGCCTTACTAGCAACTGCAGAATTTCATTTTCTCTTCAAGGAGAAGCAGCTTGCAGATTTGCGTGTCTGCTAGCACGAGCTTGCAATCTCAACCTGGTGGAGATCAAAACGGATAACAAGACAGTGATCCATTTATGTGTTTTTAAAGCTATGCCTTCTTGGGAATGTGGAGCTATCTTCACTGGCATAAAGCGTTTGGTGGATCATGGGAACTTTTCCTTCTGCTGGGCTCCTAGAACAGCTAATCGCGTAGCTCAGTGCCTCTCTCCGAGGCCGTCTTTCTCTTGATTGGGTCTCTAACCCTCCTCCAGCTCTTGCTAATCTGCTATAGGAGTTTTAGTTTTGTCTGGCTGCTGTAATGCCTCTGTTTGTTGGGGCTTTGTTTAGATTTTCCTTGTTCAAACAAAAAAAAAAAGTATAAAAAAAAACCTCACCTAAGTAATGTTTTCCACTAATTAAATTATGTTGTAATTCTTACGGTAAGATAAAATTACCATTCAATAGTGATACATCACATGTATTACGAAGGAAAGTGATAGCATTGCATCCTCCTCTTTTCATTCTCTTTTCTTTTCTTTTTCTTTTCAATCCTTTTCCTTTTAGGTTCTGTCCTAGTTATCCGCAAAGAAAAAACTAAATCAGATTTTTCAGATTATGTTTAGATATTAAATTTGTCAAGGGAAAGAAAAATTAATGTATTATTACATTTTGCCAACTCAACCAAACTAAAAAAATCTGATATTTGTTTTACTTCATTTCACTTCATTTTAATTTTCTATATTTTATTTTTTATTTTCCATTTTTTCCATAAATCTAATATCCATGAATAATGCTTGGGACCCCCTTTTGGGGGTCACCCCTCACCCCCTTTGCCACGTGGCAGGTGGTGATTGGAGGAGCAGGAAAAAAAAGAAAAAGAAAAAGAAAATGTAGCCAATGAGAGAGAGAGGGGGTCAAGCTCTTGCTAATCTGCTATAGGAGTTTTAGTTTTGTCTGGCTGCTGTAATGCCTCTGTTTGTTGGGGCTTTGTTTAGATTTTCGTTGTTCAAACAAGAAAAAAAAGTATAAAAAAAAACCTCACCAAAGTAATGTTTTCCACTAATTAAATTATGTTGTAATTCTTACGGTAAGATAAAATTACCATTCAATAGTGATACATCACATGTATTACGAAGGAAAGTGATAGCATTGCATCCTCCTCTTTTCATTCTCTTTTCTTTTCTTTCTTTTCTTTTCTTTTCAATCCTTTTCCTTTTAGGTTCTGCCCTAATTATCCGCAAAGAAAAAACTAAATCAGATTTTTCAGATTATGTTTAGATATTAAATTTGTCAAGGGAAAGAAAAATACATTTTGCCTTACATTTTGCCAACTCAACCAAACTAAAAAAATCTGATATTTGTTTTACTTCATTTCACTTCATTTTAATTTTCTATATTTTATTTTTTATTTTCCATTTCTTCCATAAATCTAATATCCATAGCATTGAAGTTTCTTTTTCTTGCGGGCCTATGACTGAGAAAATCCAACAAATCAGTTTGATTTTCTCTCTAAAAAATGCATACAGAGATCACACATACCGTGTGCTATATGCGTTGCATCAGCATTGTACACTACTTTCTCTCCTCCAATCACTCCAAATTTGAAATCATCGAAATAAATCAACAAATTAAGTAGTATTTGACTTACTGGAATAAAGGTAGATTACAATAGAATGATTATTACTTAATCTCTTTATGGGATGACTATTACCGTATAGTGATAAGTGATAATTCTATTTATAATATATAGGGAGCGTCTATTCCCACTTTACCTTACTCTAAATACATTCTCATTCTTTGTCCTTATTATAAATAGTTACATTACTACCATTTTTACTCTTACACATATACCTTAATTGCCCTTTTATTAAAAGGTATAAATGTAATTATGTATAATAAGAATAAAAAATAAGAGAGTATATTTAGAATAAAGTGGAGTGAGAATAGTGACTCCCTATATATATATATATTTCTTATAATTTTAGTGAGCGAAATGTTAGAATGAATATTTTGATGAAATAATTAATCCATTCCAGCTCATTTCAATGAATCAGACACATCATAAGAGAAATAAGTGCAAGAGGAATTTAATGCATCACTAGGAAATCTGTGATAATCACACCATGCATATCATAATTTCATTTATTTAATTATGTGGAATTTGTAGTTTAATTATGTGTTATATGTTTGATTTGTATGTATCTATTTGATTTGTGAAATATATGTTAGGAAATCCGTTTTGAATCAGAAATTGAGAGCCTAGAAGATTTGAGAAACCAAAATCGTCAAGCTTAATTGGTTTAAT